AACGATTACCGACCCATCTGGGCTCCACGACAGTCGAGTCACCTGGCTCTGATCAGATGCCTATGAGGTAGCAAAAAAAGAAAGGGGCACGAAGTCGGGGAATTTTCCAAAGTTAATGGGAAGGTTCTGGAAATAAAGTGATTATTAATTGACTCTGGTATTCCCACTAATTTATTCCTCGTTTTCCCCCCATACGGTGGCGGAATTGAAACCTGGACAGCCTGACATGAAACGACTGCTCAGGCTAACAAAAAGCAAACTGGGGCTACCGAAAAGTGTCTGGCAGTTAGAAAGACATATTACCTTGAAAAGTACGTTTAATGCCACACGGGTGTCTCTAACTCTAAATGGAACCTTCAGAAACCCATGTGGGATATGGACTACCTTCGAGACGGCAGTGAAACAGTCCGCTTTATTTGTGGTATGTTCTTAGGGGAGTTGGACAGTTTCTAACTCACTTGTAAATAAACGTTTCATCGAAGGGTGTGAGTCCATAACCGTGCATAGAAAAGTCGCGCGCCTTCTAGTTTTTAGAAGATGAAAGTCTGAAATGTCCCTTTCAGGGACCCTCATCCTCTTATTCAACTGCGAAGTAGCCTCCAACATTGTCAGTGTACGTTTACAACAAAGAACTCAGACACCAGGCAGTTCTTACAACCGCATTTTTTGAGCGTGTAAAACCCGATTTGAACAGATTTTAGGGCCGACTGGTTCGTCTCAACTCGTTTTCGGCGTAATCTTTTGCACTTTTGTGGGCAGAACTCGCTAGGTTGCTGCTCGTGGTCAGCACTGCATGCGTATGTAGAATGAATGGCTGAAGGACTGAGTCAGGATTCAAGATCAAATTACCGACCTGTGCCCATCCTGCGGGAGGCACGGTGGACATCACCATTCACAATGGTCGGACCGTCAAGTTAACTCAAGTCTCAACTCTCCTTCCGCACAGGTCGCACGAATGAGGTGTAGGATTGACGAAATTGATCGCGAGTCCCGACTTGCGCGCAGGCGCGTTGTCGTGGTACAGGAATCACCCATGCAATTCCGTCGTGGGGCGATTTCCAAGCGACCAGGGAGTACCTTCTCCAGTTCATACCAATTAGACGTCTTAGGCTGACCTTCACTCGGGCCCAACACCACAATAATTTCTTCTCGAACAAAAACGATTGCGACGACCACTTTTTGGTAGTGGCCCTCCAACCTCTAGCAACTCTGTGATCCTGAATTTTAGATGAAGGGATGGGGTTTTTACAAGCATATCTCGTTACAGAAATAAACCACAGAAATGCCTCATAAATTTTCCTTTTCGCCTCTGTCATATATTAAGTGATAAATTATGCGAACGACTAATGCGGGCACTAACTTGATTCAAACACTCCGTATGAGCATTTACAAGGGAAGACAAAGAACACCACTGGGAACCATGACATCAGCATTATTTTCGTCATAGAGTAATCCACTGACGTTTCAGATTCCTGCCCTAACCCATCATCGAGAAAAAGGCAGATACGTACCTGCTTTTTGTCTCTAATGATGGGTTTGAAAAGAAATCCATCTTATTCGATGTGACGCAACCAGTGGTCACTCTTGTAGACTGATGCAGCGACAAGTCGCTAGGCTCTAATGACGTTTCAACACAGCCCACACAGCCGGAAACTCAATAAACGACAAGCTCCTAGAAGAATTAAAAAATCATTGGTTCGAAAGTGCTAGCTGAAGTATATACCCTTAGCTCCTAATTCAGCATAAATGGGCAATAATTGACAATCCTCGTGTCCTTATTTCACAGCACATCAAAACGATGTGCTTTGACAATGCAGAGCGTAAGTTGTTACCTTGACAAACGGCTTGCTGATCTTCGACTCCTCCTGCCAATCGGATACACGCCAGACGCGGACACCCAGGCCCTCAGCTTGGGTGGCCAAGTACCGGCCAGCGGGATCCCAGGCGACACCCTTGACTGGTCCGCCGTGGCCACGAAGCGTGGCGATGCACTGGAAGGGCGATGCTGAGGCCGTACTGGGAGTGCCCTGAGATGGGCCCCAGATTACGACTGTGTTGTCTACACTGCAGGAGGCCAAACGGAGGCCATCCTGGGCCCAGGCTATGTCGATTATGTCTGAAACACAAGACAGGAGTCAGATAGGAATAAAATGTCCATACGTCTTGCGGCGCGGCGACTGAGGCATAAGTCCGCCATCAGCGGAACCGAACTCCTGCACCTCTTCTCATCTATAGTCTGGGGCGGTCAGGGTCACATCGACACAAGACTTTAAAATTCCACATAGGTAATCAGGATAATGCAACCAAGTAAGACGTGCGTGGTATTAAGGTGTCCATGAACACCCAGAAACATAAGTTTCCAGGGTGTGAAGTTAAGATGTTCAGATGGCATAAAAGGAGATTGAAATTTACAAAAGTAGGCTATCTAGTAACAGACAATAGTTCAAGTAAGATTCCGAGGTGTTTTATAGGACACGAAGGTACTTTCGGCATTAGAAGTACATTTATGGTCTACTGTTTCAAGTAACGAATTCGGCATTGTCAATATAAGTAACGAGAATGATGAGACATGCGAGCTGTACACAGGACTCACCAGCTTTTGAAGATGGACGGCCGAATTTTCGGCCTGGAAGATTGCACTAAGATTATAGATTTTCTCGCCAAACGCATGATGTAATACCGGGCTGAATGTTACGAGCAATGGTGGTCTGCCCGGAATAGTCTAAACATCATATCGCAAGTGACCTGGGAGTTTTATATGACTTATTCCACTACCCTGAGTCATGTTTAATGTGCACTAAACGATACTGGAGAGACTGGAAAATAGTAGCATCATAACCAATGCGAAAAGAATAGCAGGGAAAAGAAGTACCTCCGGTGTGATGACGCAGTACTGTCGCACACCGCCAGTGTTCCGTAAACTTCATCTTTTCAGTAGCCCCGAAGATAGCACTGGCTCGGGCACCCGCGCTAAATAAAGAATGCCAGATATAAGTACAAATTTTGCGTAAATTTGAATAAGTGGGTCAAGCTGTGGGTACCGCACCCTTTGACTAATGGCCACATGCAAGTGTGCTAGAACGGTTAAGATGAAGAGGTGGGGTGTTCTTGCTAGTCTCATGACAATCATATCAGACATGTCAGACAAGAATCCCTAAATTGCTCAACTGTAAACTTCCTTTTGGCTACAGATTGAGGTATTTTAGATCTAGGAATATTTTCAGGTATGAATTGCGAACGCAAAACCGGTAATTTTTCAGGGAACTTAAGTGTACGTCTGACATATGAACGAAAAACCATGAATTAATAATGTTATTGTAAGGCCATAGTCCCGAGACGTTCCGTCATAAAGACAACGAATATGGCCAAGTGCAACCCACCCCAACTCCAAAAAAACAATGCAACGGGAGCTGGTTCGTAGTCGCCTTATTCCTTAGGGGATTCCGAAAAAATGTCTCGATGTTTTCACGATAAAACAGTAGGATGGCAAACAAGACTGACGCCAAGTATTTCAACGGTATCTTTTACCAGGCTTGTGTGACTTGGTATAACGAAGACAGCAGGCATCTGTACGTCGGTCGAACAAATTAGGGAAAAAGCACATTATGAATAGTCCTGTAAATCGTGTTAGTAAGTTTGTTAATGAGAACGCGACCGCCTTCTGTTCATAAATAATATACTCATGTCACACGACGGATATTGGGCAGCTGGTTTAGATATTTAGCTAAAAACAGGCTAACAGATTGATACACTTTTCTCATCAAACTGTATGAAACCGGTCGCGATTGAAATTTTGACAAGCTATTTACCCTTACTGACGTCGGAAATGCTGACGAAAAATATGTTACAGGATAGGACGTTTAATTTACTAATCACTCCGAATACTTTTCTCCGCGAAGGAGTATCGAGAACCGCAAAAACTTCGCTCAGGAAGAATGTTATCTGGAGTCGTCTGATTTATCAACATCCTCTCAACAGACTGTATGTAACCCGTGCAAGTGTTCCATAATTGACGGGGTATTTTGTGACACAACTGACAATAAAAGTGGTTTTGTTAATAATTTTTATTTACTCTTATAAGTAGTTTGCCCCGATATGCATGTGGCATATTTGATATGCACGCAGTGTAAGTCGAAGTATGCAGTTGTCGGTTCGCATCACTTAAACGGCTCGTAGAAAAAGCTTGTGAAAGTTGTTGGCTGGATTGCGTCCTACCGATCAGCCTTAGCAAATACTGAGGAGCGTTTTCAGCTTCGCATACCGATTGCTCGTTCGGTCAAATAGTGAATTAGCTAAAATGGCAAAATCCGTCTCACATTGAATGCCATTAGTGAAAGCAGCCCTGGCTATATTTCTACCGTAGGCACCGAAGTTTACGAAACAATGACTAAAATTTCTTCCTGCGCTTCCAAGTAGAGACGAGTACTTCAGCGTGGTAGCAAGACTGGTTATTATTATTATTATTATTTTCAGTTTCAGCTATTACTATTATCACAGAAAATAGTTCTAAGTCGATTGCTACACAGTGGTGCGGTGGTTGCCGACTGGACTACTATCCACTGATTTATGTAAATTACAGTCTGAAAGGCACCATATCAGTGACGTCCATTTTAAAATCGATTTGAAATACCTGTATAAAGGCCATCACATTTCATAGGAGGGACGTACAAAACTCGTCAAAGATACCCATTTTACAACCACGTCATCCTTAGAAAATAAAAACTAATTTCGCAAGTTTGCCAACATCTGTATATTTCAAAACAGAACTGGGGTTTCAACCTGATCGCTAGGTTTCCTAACTACGGCCTATGAAGATATGTCCCCATAAAGCTGCATAATCATATGGCGGAGGGGAGCTCGCCGACCGCGTTACAGAACACGCTCGCCCGCTGTGCCTTGGGGTTAAACCTTGAACCTCACCGGCAACCGCTCAGCAGCTAGCATTAGACGCATAATAACGTTACCGACAAGGATAAGAGGGACTGAAATAGCCATTTCTGGCCTATATGTTGCCATCAGTCAGCCATAACCAATTGCAAGCCTGTCCAATCCCTGAGGTTCGAACCCATAATCTGCTGGTTGAAAGCGCAATGTCTTAACCCTTGAGCCATGTCGGTTGCGATCAGGCTTAAAAACAACGGTAGAGGGACACTCACCGATTGCATTACAGGACACATTCGTCCCGTTGCGTCAATAGGCCGCGGGTTCGGGTCTCAGAGGTTGCGAAAACCAGTGATTAAGTGTGGCTGGCTGATGACGGTTAATAAGGTGGAAATCGACATTCCCGCCTCCACTGTCCTTGTCGGCAATGCTACTCTGCATATCCATGTGTTATTTGTTGGTTCATATCCTCTTCTGCACTTAAACACGCACGGTTTCACGAACACCATGGGGGGCCGTTCGTGTGGTGTGGACTGTACAGAAGGACTTGTTAAAAAACCGATCAGAATTGTGTTTAAATGTAGCACCGGCTAAGCAGAAAAAAATAGACCAGCGTAACCCCTTTTATTCCCCTTTTGGCGGACAACGATGATGAGTCTGTGTGGAGCAGTGCAATTAATGCGAATTTCGACATTCGGCAAAGCCTTCTAACGAAGCTAAACACGCAGGCATGTAAGATGGTACAACGGAGCGAGTACGTCCCTCAAACTAAATGGTGAGCACCCCTCTACCATAATTCATATTCTCGACTACAACTGACGGGACAACAGGCCCGTGGCTCAGTGATAGGGCGTTTAAATAGGGAAATAAAGGCCCCGGGTTCGAATCCCAGGCGACCCGCACCTGAGATTGGGTACGACTGACTGATGACGGCTAACAAGCTGAACATAGTCGTTCCAGTTTCCCATGTCTTTGTCGCTACCACCTTATCTACGCCTACTACTAGTCGCTATCTGACTGCCTGATAGAAGTGGAGCCTTATCCCCAAACGGACAACAGGATGAGCACATTCCGTAACCTGATTGGTGAGCGCAACTCTATCATAATACATGTACATTTCCACATAGTATTCAACACTAAAAGGCAACAGGAGTAACAAAGACACATACGAAGTTTTGACCCAGACCATGACGACGCGGTCCATACCACCAGAAGCTAGCCACCGACCAGTGGGGGACCAACGGACGCAATTTACACATGCTAAAATGCAAACAGAATGTAAAATCAGTCCCAAATCTGATGAATATATGACAGTTCACAATTATGTGCAGTTAATAAATCATAAGTTTAAAGAAGAAAAGACCTCAGATACATCCTCTGCAAACTGTGGTCATACACAAGAACAACCTTTTGCAATCTGTTGCGTTTAACTGACTTTGCTGGGTTAAATTAGTGCAAGCATCTTTTGACTGGATACCTCTCAGAGCTCGAAACGAAAAGTAGTAATGAAACATCGCGCCGACACGGTAGAAAACAACAATGAGAGGGGCAAAGGAAGCGGCACATTAGTCCAGAGGACTGCAAAAACCGGCTTTTGCGGCATACTTAGAACAAAATGTCGATAAAAAAAACAGCAGCAATTGGCAGATGTGCATAGGCTGAATTATTTTTTCAGGCGGTACCCTGATGATTATCCATCTGGAAGAGTCTTTGACATGTTGAGGATTTTTCGAGACTAGGATCCCGTATAAGCGACATGTCCCACAGAATTATCAGTCCGCCACCGTCCGTCAGACCACCAGTAGCAAGCCGCTTTCCATCTGGGTGAATATCGAGGGTGTAGATTGGACGCACTAAATTGTTTGGGAGAAAGGACTATTAATGCGGGTTTAAGGTTGGCCAAGTTAAGGCAAAAAGACCGGTATTTCCACTCACAGAATGGGCCAGTTTTTGAAGTTTTACCATGCGTCACCCAGTGAGGCTTAAGAAGCCGCATCTCTGTAGAAAGATAAATTAGGTTTGGATGCAGTAAATTAATGCTGCAAGAAAAGAGCAAGCCAGAAGGCAAGAGGAAGCAAAAAATACTGTCCTGACCAAGGGCATGCAAGTAATACGTGCACCAAGTTATACGACCACCGAAGTTGTTCACAGGTGGATATTCACCTAAATTGTTCAAGTCTGTCGAAACATATACAAATGTATTAAAGATCCACTTTGCTCATATGCAGCAAATGTCGACCGCAAACGATGTTAGCGACTTTTAAATGAAACATTGCGCAGATTTCTAAAAGAGTCTCTAAAGTAAGTACCTCCACTTTTGCAAGGATGCCGCTACCATATGCACACTTTTCCTGTTGGTTAACCAATCCTATGATTCCGGAAAATCGTCTTCTATTGAGAGGGACAGTATACCGAATAAATAAATGTACACGAATATTTGATGACTCAAGACAAATTTGAAAAATGATGTGTTTTAGGATAACAGTAACATTAAAAAAAGTCGTCGGACGTAGACTGTCAATTGAAACAGTCAACAGCTCGTGGAAAATGCGTAAACCATTTTCATGCGGTAAAAGGGACGTACGTATAAACGTCACACACACACACACACATACATATATATATATATATGATGCCTGAGTGAGCCAGCACCTGATAGCATTTGGTCGCCCAGGGCTAGACATTTGCTAGTCCGTTTGACTTGCCGGCTAGTGCAGAGGTAATAACCTGACTGGCTCGATCTGCGCAAGGAAAGTAGCCTTTCTGCTACACCCCCTCCTTGATGCTCACCCGAGTGCACTTTCCACGTCACGTCTGGGGGGTCCCTTTGCGCGTACGCACGGACTTTGTCCGGAATTAAGGCTACTGTCTGACGACTCAAATCGCCTCGGGCTACAACGCTCTCAGCTCGCCCGAGAAGGCACGACAACCTACTGTCCCCGTGTGGATTGCTGAGAAATCCAGTCGGTCGCAACACTAGCCCGTGACCGGGATAGACCTGTGCGAGTGGAATGCAAAAAGTAGTTAACTACTTTTTGCAAAAAGTAGTTCCCTCGGTAACAGTAGTGACCAAAAATTTCGTGAAGCTTGTTGCACCTAACTGCGATCATTGCAAAAAACCCACCCTAGTCGCTTGCCTAACTGCGCTCCGATCATAGTATATTTACGTAAGTGACTTGGTGGCTCTACCAACTTTTCAGAGCGTTCAGCAGAAAGGAATACTCTACCCTGACCGACAGACTGCTGCGAGTGCACACCATTTTATCTATACAGTGTTTCTACCACTCTAGGTTGACTGAAATTAAGTTTAAAACATTTACTCGTGAAGATGAACAATGTTTACTTCGCTGAATCGGCGGACTCACAAAATGACCCAGGTAGTACCCAATGCCCAATTGGCCAAAATATAAAGGTCATTTTCAAATTCGGTGTTCACGACTGTTGCTCAACATTGTCACAAGCGTAGGAATTAATCAATTATCCGAAGACTTCAGGATATATTTATTATTTTGGCACTAGTGTAGCGGCCAAGGACGCCAAGTATAGCACACACTGGGGTTGCGAAATCCTGGGAACAAACCCTGGAAAAGACTGACCTGAATAGGGTCGTCAACACGTTACATTACTCATCCACACGAAGGGGAAGAAGAAACGCTAGGTGGGCGTTAGGGCATAAAGGAAAGAAATTTAGACTGGCTTAACATAAAAAATTGATCTATTTTAAAAGCAGGATGAGTTACAGAAAGGAATTGGCTTGGCTGCATATCGAGGGGACACTGGCATGCCTGTTAAACAAGCAGTGGATAACGCAGCGCGGATGTCAGTAGCAGGGTAGGTCCCGACGTTAACAGAACGAGGGAGGCGAATGTTTCGGAATGGAATCGGCGGTAAACAGTTGGAAGAGCACCGAATATTTTCACCGAAATGCATTTGCCTCATCAACATCCTAGGTTCTCGAAGGTAATATCTCCTTATTTGAAGAACTCTATACATTTCGTATGCGTTACAAAAGAAGAGAGGTTGTTTCAAGGGGTTTGACTGGGTTTTTCCTGAGGAGTTTACAGTCTTTTATAGCGAATTCAGGATAGAAATGTCGTAACCGCGTGTCGGTGAAATAGTTGGTGTCCTGTCCTCATATCCCGCCAGCCTACTTCCTGAACAACCGCTGTCACACTCAAGTTCGTCTCGTTCCTCACCGGCACTCCCCACCGCCCTACCTCGCGGTTGCCCACAACGCTGCCCACCGCTTTTTAAGCTAGCATGCTCGAATCACCTCTCCTGTTGAAACAATTATATACCCTCGTATCATTTACAATCATCCTGTGAACTTGACAAATATATATCGCATCGGTGACTTTTCTTATCCCTTGCTTGGAGGATATGGATGTTGCGTTTAACAACTCTCTTCAGCCCGTTCCCAGTCCGAAATCAATTTCCGTGCCACCCATCACCCTTCGTGTGCTAACCCCAACGCCTTCCGGTGCTACACTGTAGCATTTATGGACTTCGTTTTTTGATGTCGAAATCACAGCCCCGACAAGATCCTTCTTCTATGTGAATCGACGTCCCTGTATGCGTGTTAAACATAGGTAAGATAAAATACAGTTACTATAGCAGCGTTCGAAGAAAACGAAGAAGTTGTTTCGCGGTGAAGATGGCGTTCCGCGCACGCCGTTGGGAGAGTGAAGACCATTGGAATTTCGGATATCGCTCCCGACCAGATAACGTGATTTGCACCGACGCGGACATTTATTCAGTGTAATTCAGTAATTCAGTATATATGAGGGATAGAGACAGAGCCTTGGAAAACCCTATTTACAGATATAAGTCTAAAAAACCTGCAGCTGTTTACATTGCAGTCATTGATATCGTGTAAATGTTTGACCATCAAGCATAAATTTATCTAGTCTTCTTTTGACGGTCTTAACGTTTTCCGCTAAGACAACGGAGTCCGATAATTTCTTCCATCCTCCAACTAGACGGTGGGAGAAGAATTTGGTCCGCACTTCAATTTTGGCATATTTTAGTTTCAATTTGTATTGGTGCCCTCGAAGATTTGTCGTCCGCGCCATTTCAAAGAAATCGCCAAACCGATGAACGCAGTCTAGCCCTCTGACGATCCTGAAGGTCATGATCATATCCCCGCTGTATTGCCTGTACCAAAAAGGAAATATTTTTAGCTTTTCCAGGCGTCTCTCATGAGGTAAGCTACTCAATCCGCCGACCAGCTTTGTCGCTTTTCGTTGTACGTTTTCCAGTAGGATGTAATCTTGTTTTGTCCATGGACACCATGCCTGAACACAATATTCCAACATCGATCGAACGAGTGCTCCAAATACTCGGCCGAAAAGTTCTTCGTTAAAATTAAGTAAGGATCTTCTAAGCGCGCCTAGGATCTTTATAACTTTCTTTGACACCTTGGCGCATTGAGACGATGGTTTGAGAGTTGATGGCATCTATACACCGGGGTTTCTTAACTTGTTGACTGATTCGAGTTGATGACCTCCTATAGAGTAGTGAGATTCAAAGCTCAACGGCCTCCTGTTGATCGATCGTAATCGGATAAGTTGGCAGTTGTTACGACTGAGGTTAAGACACCACTCAGCACGCCATTGTTGCAAGCGACTCAGATTGTCTTGTAACTGTACAGAATCTTCCAGATTTTCTATTGATTTCCACAATGTGAGATAATTGGCAAACATTACGCGCTCACAGTTCAGACAGTCCAGGCAGTCGTTCACATAAATTAAGAACAGAATCGGACCCAGAACGCTCCCCTGAGGAACGCCACTGTGAAGGGATACCCATTCCGACTTGGCGTTTACGATACACATACGTTGAGATCTGCCCGTAGGAAACTCGGCTAACCATTTCAAGAGATTTCAGCTTATGTTGTCAAATAACATTATTTACCTGTATTTCGCATAGTTGATAGGGTGGCGTGTAGATCGAATATTGTCTCTTTTAAATAAATCGAAGGCGCTCCTCGTAAATGCGTTGGCAGCGACTGCTTCAGCAGTTATAAGGTGTTCATTTATGTCGTGTGACAAGTCAAAACAACAATTTCGTGGCATTCTTCCTCGTGAAAATAGCCGACTCCATCTTATCATCGCTCGTCTGGGGACATCTGTTGCCGGAGATGTACGTAGAACCCAGGGTACTCGGCTATCAATCTTAGGAAAAAAGGATCTTGTTGAGAGTCGCAATGTGCACCCAGAGACTCATCGCTTTTTGAGTGGCCAACGCTGTCCTTCTTTCTGAACGCGTGTCCCGCGGGTGACAGGAAAGTGAGCAAATGTCCCAAACTACCTGACCGACTCTGCCAACTCCGGTCGGAAATATACACGAGGTTTTGTGTTTCATGCGTTGCTCCAGCTGCCTATAGTCCGTCCAAATATCCTGGTTGGCTGGTGGACGCGTGGTTGTCGACAATTTTCCTAGGTTCATTTTCTACCTTTTTGCCCGTTAGGGATATTCAGCGTCGGTACAAGCGGCCTCCGAATTACACTATGAGTCACTAATCAATTTACTTTCGAAGACGACACAAATTAATCTGGACCGCCAATGGGATGGCTGCCGCGCACTCCGAACGACGTGCTTCCGTTTTTGGAGAGTGAGGACTAGGCAAGGCAAGATTACACAATTTCGATCTTCCAGAACGACGATGTCCGCTGACGCCGATTTGTGCACGAAATACGTTATAGTGATAGCCGACTCCCATATATCCCCACATCATTTGGGTCTCATACTCAGCCTTCTCTTGCTGACTCCCCGTACGTCAATAACTCTAGATTAACTGGTACTTATTCTCCAAGTGTCATTAAATCACAGCTTACATATCAACCTCCAAATTTTTTTTTAAAATACCGTCGAAAATAGCATTGCCGTTCGAAACACATTAGATATCATATTATTGAATGCCAGGTCTGTTATAAACAAGATGGCCCAAATCAGAGCCATTGCTCTGGAAATGACGCCTGATATTATATGTGTAAC